TTGGGTATTCTTGTCTTTGATAGATTTTCATTTTGCGTTCATTCTGGTATGCAGTTGTTTGGTTTTTCCTACATATTTTCCATCAGGGCATTTGGTGCACTGGATGAGATGTATTACATTTCTGGAGGTGCAGGTGTAAGATCCAAGAATCCTGATGGTTCATTTGTGGGGGTAGTTATTGCGGGGATGGTGAAGATATGTTGGGAGGTTTTACATTTCTTGTCATGGCACAGTCTGGATCCATTTGGTGTGTTATGGGCCGTAGGAAGATTGCTTCTGGTGATGAGGTTGGTGAGGTTTGGTGCTTGTTTAATAGGATGGGCTGTGCTAGGAAGATGTCTTTTAAGAACTGGGTCCTAGGATCATAGGAAGTTAGGATTGGAAGGGACCTCAGACGGTCATCTAATATAACCCCCTGCTCAAAGCAGGACCAGCTCCAACTAGATTGTCCCAGCCAAAGGTTTGTCTACCCAGTTTTTAAACACCATCAAGGATGGAGATTCTACAACCTCTCTGGGTAACCTGTTCCAGTGGTTTACTACCCTCCTAGTGAGAAAATTCCCCAAATATCTAACCTAAACTTTCCTTGCTACAACTTGAGACCATTGCTCCTTGTTCTGTCATCTGCCACTGCTGAGAATAGCCTAACTCCATCCTCTTTTTAACCCCGTTTAAGGTAGTTGAAGACTGCTATTAAGTCTTCTCTAGACTAAATAAGCCCAGTTCCCTCAGTCTTTCTTCATCAGTCATGTCCCCCAGCCCCCTCACCATTTTGTTGCTGGACTCCAATTTGTCCACATCCTTTTTGTAGTGGGGGACCCAAACTGAACACAGTACTCCAGATATTGCCTCACCAGTGCTGAATAGAGGGGAATAATCACTTCCCTGGACCTGCTGGCAACACACCTACCAATGCAGCCCAATATGCCATTAGCCTTCTTGGCAACTAAGGCACACTGCTGGCTCATATTCAGCTTATTGTGTACTGTAGCTCCCTGTCAGTCCCCAGCCTGGTGCATGGGATTGTTCTGGACTAAGTGCAGTACTTTGCACCTGTCTTTGTTGAACCTCATGAGATTCCTTTTGGCCCAATCCTCCAAATCGTGTGGGTCACTGAATCCTAGCCCTATTCTCCAGCATATCTGCTACTCCCTGCAGCTAGGTGTCATTTGCAAACTTGCTGAGGGTGCACTGTATGCCATCTTCCAGGTCATTGATGAAACCATTGAACAAAACCAGCCCCAGGACTAACCCCTGGGGCTCTCCACTTGATACTGGCTGCTAACTAGACATCAAGCCATTGACTTCTACTCTCTGAGCTTTATGCTGTAGCCAGTTTTCTGTCCACCATACAGTCCATTCATTCAGCCCATGCTTCCTTAGCTTGCCTGCAAGAATGTTATGGGAGACCTTGCTACAATCAAGGTATACCACATCCACCAGTCTCCCTCCATCCACAGAGCCAGCCACCTTGTTATAGAAGGCAGTCAGGTTGGTCACAATGGTCAGGCATGACTTACCCCCAGTGAATCCATGCTGACTGTTCCTAATCATCCTTTTCTCCTCCAAGTGCTTACAAATGGATTTCTTGAGGATCTGCTCCATGACTTTTTCAGGGACTGAGGTGAGGCTGACTGGTCTGTAGTTCCCTGGATCATCCTTTTTCCCTTTCTTAAATATGGGCACTATGTGTGCCCTTTTCCAATCATCTGGGACCTTTCCTGATCTCCATGAGTTTTCAAAGATGATGGCCAATGGCTCTGCAATCACATCAGCCAATTCCCTCAGCACCCTCAGGTGCATCCCATCCAGCCTCATGGACTTGTACACATCCAGCTGTTCTAAGTTGTCTCTAACCTGTTTTTTCACTACTGAGGGTTGCTTACCTCCTCTCAGAACTGCCCAGTGCAGTAGTCTGGGAGCTGGCCTTGCCTGTGAAGATAGAGGTCAAAAAGACATTGAGCACTTCAGCCTTTTCTGTATCCTCTGTCACAAGATTGCCTCCTGCATTCAGTTAAGAACCTACACTTTCCCTGATCCTCCTCATGCTACCGCCATGCTTGTAGAAACCCTTCTTGTTACCTTTCACATCCCTGGCTCGCTGGAACTCCAATTGCACTTTGGCCTTCCTGACTTCATCCCTGCATGCCTGAGCAATGCTCTTGTGTTCTTCCCTAGTTATTTCTTCAAGTTTCTACTTCTTCTAAGCTGCTTTTTGTGATTTAGTGTACTGAAGGGTTCCCTGCTAAGCCAAGCTGTTTTTCTGCCATACTAGCTAGTTTTCCTACACATCGGGGTGGTTTGTTCCTGCACTCTCAGTAAGGCTTCCTTAAAGTACAACCAGCTGTCCTGGACTCCACTCCCCCTCTTCTAGTATGGGTTGCAATTGGTTGAGGATTTTCTGTATAGGTTCCAGGGAGGGTTGATATGTCAGAACTAGTGACGTGCAATTCATGGAGGTTTTCTTTCTGTACTGCGGCAGTTCTTCATGTGGTATATGTGCCCACTGATCAGTATTTTAAACAGTGATTTCTGAATTTCATTGTAGCATTTTTGTTAGTTACTCCAACAATACTTGAAAGATTATAAAATTTCACCAGTGTGTTTTAGAGTAGAGTACAAAGGAAAACTTCAAAGGGTTTAAAGTTAATTAAATAAAATTCACAAGTACAAAGAATCAAACTGTAAAAGAAGGGAGAAGTTGATTAAAAGGAACAAGTGAGAACCCTTAAAATCCACATATGGATTGTTGAAATACTTTACAGCATCTTTTCTTCTCTTACCACCTAATTTTTGTAATAAAAATTTAAATGGCTCTAATCTTTTGGTTTCTTTGTGTTGGCTTCTCACAGTTGTTTTGATGTTATGATTTTTATTTGTTTGTTTGTTTTTAGATTAGATGAAGCTGCATTGTCACTTCAGAAGGAAAAAAGTATTTATAAAGAAATTGAAAATTATCCAACGTGTTACAAGGTAAAAACCTAGAGTGCTGCTTTCTTTCTTAATAACAAAACAGAAATGCATAAAAGGGAAATTGTTTGGCCTCTGACGTCTCCAGTACTTCTGACTGAATGGCACTACTTGCTTTTAATAGTCCATGGATTAATTTCTTGCCTGGCAGTCACAGTTTTGGATGACTAGTTTCCCCCCATAAACCTACTAACTCTGTATTTTCATCTTTATTAAGATCATAAGCTGATCACTTGGCAACTTCTGAGATACTCTAATATCTGCCTTAACATAAGGTTCTTTTAAATTTTATGAGGCTGAAGAAATATTAATTTTTATCGTAGAAATGTTGAGAGCAAGAAGGCTAGGTATTTTGAATACATTAAATATTTAGATTGATATTCTTAACTTCAAAAATTCAGCTGTGGTGTCATAATTATTTTAAAAATCCTTTGTGGAATTCTGGACCTGCAACCTGAATACAGTTTGTTTTGAAGCTGTATTCTGAATAACAGAATTGGTCTATGATGTTTTCTTCCTTTTCGCACTACAGTTGGTGTAGATTGTGGGAATTATGCTGGTCTAAATAGTCACTATTTCTGTCCTGCTGCTTTTTTTTCTTTTTTGTCTACTAAAAAGTCTCTGGCGAAAAAGAACAGCGTGGGCACATTTTTCATTGGCTTTAATGCCCTTTGTGCACCTATCCTGAGCAAGGAATATTTCTTTTTCTACTAAGAAGTTACTGAATGTAAAGCATTTTATTGCATTTGTTACTGAAGAATGATCAAAGATTTCTTCTATTTTAGAAAACTATTGCTCAAGTTTTAGTTCATCTTCACAGAAATGACTTCGTTGCCGCTGAAAGATGCGTCAGAGAAAGCTATAGGTAAGACACCCATTTGCCTTGTTCTCAAACTTTTACAGTTTGGTTATACTTACAGGCAACTCCTGCTTAACATGGTTTCACTTAGCGCTATTTTGCTATAGCGCTCATTTAAAATTCATACCTGATTTCATTTAGCGCTGAGCCAGTTTCGTTATAGCGCTCAGCGAAGCAGCAGCAATGGCAAATGGCAGCGAGTGGGCAGGCGGGCATGAGTGCAGGGCTCTCACTGGTGCTACAGGGCCAGGGCTGGCAGGGGCCCAGGGCGGGGCAGCAGCATGGTCTGGCACACTATGCTGGAGTGGTTGGCAAACAGGGAGGTATGGGGAGAAGTGGCAGCGGCAAGAAGCAGCAAGTGTGGGGACATGCGTGTGTGCGGGGTCTCCGCCAGAGCTGGTGGGAGCCCAGGATGAAGCGGCAGGAGCATGGGGCGTGGGCTGGCACGTGGGGCTGGAGCAGCTGGCAGGCAGGTGGAGGGGTGGGGAGAGGCAGTGGTGGTGAGAAGCTTCGGCAAGAAGCAGCAGTAAGCAGTTATCTCTATTTACATTAATTCCTGTGGAGAAATGTGTTTTGCTTAGTGCCGTTCTGCCTAACGCTTTTTTTCTGGACTCAATTTAGAGTGTTAAGTAGGGTTTGCCTGTATTAATTCAGAGAACCTGTTTTAAAGAGGTTTCTCTTTCTTCTGTTTCCTTGGTTGATAATTGAAGAACTATCCTGAAGAAAGCTTTGATTTTAAATAATTGATTTTAATCCTGCTCAACACTAACACTTTACATTATTTATCTAAAGAGAAGATCTCTTTTTACTGTTTTTACTTTACTGTTTACTCTTTTTACTTTACTATTTGGTAACAAAATGTGGTTATTGCTTGTAAATGCAGCATTTAAACAAAATCTGCCACTTCACTTTTGCTAATGAGAAGATCATGCTGTAATGTGTAGCAATTTAGGTAAGCAACTGTATGGCTTAGCCCAGGGGTGTCAAACATGTGGCCTGAAGACTGGATCCAGTCCACAGGGCTGTATGCTTTGTCCTGTGTGTTCCTGAACCAGCCCGAGTTGCTGGCCCTGGTCTCATGCAATGCATGTTTGGTGCTACATGCCCTGAACATAGCACAAGGGCATGCGCTATGGTACCCTGCATATACTTCATGCATTGTGCAGGCTGGACCTGATGCCACTGGCACTGCACATAGGGCTGGTCCCCATCTGGCCTGCAGACTGGTCCAGGGACCCACACCTGGCCCACAAGGCTGGATGAGTTTGATGTGCCTGGTTTAATACAACCTTTATGTTTTTTTAATTTATTTAATTCTTTTTCCCTGTCATTTGTGGATGGGTATTCAGTTAATACAGAAACATAGCATCTTAATAGTATTTGTTTTTTATTTGAATAAACCTGTTTAAATGCATTGGGTATGCAAGGAAAATTATCAGTATATGTCTTATATTTAAAATTTACTTACTAAACATAGGAAGTACCATCATTGTTCTTGTTCAGTGTCCTTCAGAACCTTAGGACCAGAAGATCTCATTATCTCATGCTTACACTCTACTTTTTATCAATAGATTGGAAGAGGAAAACAAGTTTTCTTGCTTTTTCAGCTCCCAGTTGGTTTTTTAACTTTCACTGAACTAGACATTGAACTGTACTAATCAAATTAGCTGAAGTAAAAACATTATCTCTACAGCTACAGAAGAGGCTAAGCCTGTCAAATCTGGTTTAGTACTGTACCTGAATTTGCTGAATTCCCCTGTCAAGTGTTTAGACTTTCTTTTAAACGTCAACAGAGACATGTTGTTTTTATTATTTTTATTTAAATATTTAATAAGTTATAGTCAGTTTAGCCCTTGACACAGGTTCTAATAATGTTGTTCAATCTCAAAATATTCAAATTTATGAAAATTTCAGTGTGTTGTTTTGTGGTGGGGAGGGGTTAATTATATTTTTATCCACTCTGTTCCTCTGTCTTAAATAACTACATATGGCTTAACACATTTACTAAAAGGAAAATGTAGTGGCCCAGTAACAGCCACAGAATTGTTTAACCACTTTACATTTTGGGACCACTATTTTGCATGATTCATTTTAATCTAATTAAAAACTTCTTTTCACGTGACTAGAAGACACTTTTATCCAGCCTTGTTTTCAGAGTAGTTAAGTGGCAGCAGAGAACTGTATTATTGTGAAGCTTATAGCTGTTTATGCCTCTGTGTAAATGTAGGCAGTGAGGAGCCAGGAGTGGATAGGTCATACGTTTTAATTGACTTGCATTTCTATCAGCATACCAGGATTCAATGGAAGTGAAGACTGTGCAGCACTAGAACAACTTCTAGAAGGATATGACCAACAAGACCAGGATCAAGTTACTGATGTCTGTAATTCACCACTCTTCAAATACATGGACAATGATGTAAGTTGGCATTTCTTATGGCTTTTCACAAACCTTTTGCTAATAAGAAAAAGGGGGTAAAAAGCACCCTGTTCAAATTTGCTGATGGCACTAAGATGTGGGGGGACATGGGCACAGTAGAAGGAAGCAACAGGCTACAATCTGACCTAGATAGGTTACAAGGGTGGGCAGATGAGAAGAGGATGGGTTTCAACACAGACAAGTGCAAGGTGATGCACCTGGGGAGGAACAACCGGCACCATACCTACAGGTTGGGGAACTCCCCTCTTGTCAGCACGGAGGCGGAAAAGGATCTTGGAGTCATC